CAGTACCTATATCTTGCATGGTTTCCCAATGCTTTCTAATAACTTGTGGTGTCGGGTCATAGATTTAAGTCTTTAATCCATGTTGAGTGAATGTTTCTGTAAGGTGAAAGTAGGGGTATTGCTTCATGATTCTGCACGTGGAAATCCAGTTTTCCCAGCACCATTTATTGAATAGACTGTCCTTACTCCAGGGATTGGTTTTGGATACTTGATCAAATATGAGTTGGATGTGGATGTTTGGATTCATTTCTGGTGTTTCAATTCTGTTCCACTGGTCTATCCATCTGTTTCTGTACCAGTACCATGCCGTTTTGATTACAACTGCCCTGTAGTATGTCCTGAAATCTGGTATTGTGATGCCTCCAGGTTTGTTTTTGTTGTACAAGATTGCTTTAGCTATTCGAGGTCTCCTGTGTCTCATATGAATTTCAGCATCATTTTTTCCAGATCTGAGAAGAAGGTCTTCAGTATCTTGATTATTGTTGCATTGAATGTATAAATTGCTTTAGAGAGAATGGACATTTTGATGATATTGATTTTTCCAATCAATAAGCATGGAAGATTTTTTCCATTTTTTGGTATCCTCTTCTATTTCTTTCTTTAAGATTTTGTAATTTTCATCATAGAGATCTTTAATGTCCTTGGTTAAGTTTATTCCAAGGTATTTGATTGTTTTGTAGCTATTGTGAATGGGATTGATCTTACAAGTTCTTCTTCAGCCGTGTCATTCATTGTGTATACAAAGGATGTTGATTTTTTTTTGCATTTATACTATATCCTGCTACTTTGCCAAACTCTCCTATGTGTTACAATAGTTTCTTAGTAGAGTTCTTTGGATCCCCTAAATAAAGAATCATATCATCTGCAAAGAGGGATAGTTTGCGTTTTGCCTTCCCAATTTGTATCCCTTTAATTTCTTTTTCTTGCCTAATAGCTCTGGCTAGAACTTCCAGAACTATATTGAATAGCAGTGGTGAGAGTGGGCATCCCTGTCTGGTACGAGATCTCAGTGGAAATGCGTCCCACTTTTCCCCATTCAATAGGATGTTGGCCGTGGTTTTTTTTAAATTGCTTTGATTGTATTGAGGAATGTACATAACATACCCAGTTTGCTTAGAGTTTTCATCATGAAAGGGTGTTGTATATTACCAAATGCTTTCTCTGCACCTTTTGAGATAATCATATGGTTTTCTTCTGCAGTTTGTGAATGTGGTGTATCACATTAATTATTTTGCGAACATTGAAACACCCCTGCATACCAGGGATAAATCCCACTTGGTCTGGGTCGATGATCTTTCTGATGTGTTGTTGCATAATATTGGCGAGAATTTTATTGAGGATTTTTGCATCTATGTTCATCAGAGATATTGAACTTTAATCCTCTTTCAATGCTGCATCTTTTTCCGGCTTAGGAATTAAGGTGATGCTGGCTTCATAGAAAGAATTTGGGAGGATTCCCTCTTTTTCGATTGTTCTGAATCGTTTGAGTAGAATTGGATTTAGTACTTCTTCAAATGTCTGGTAGAATTCAGCAGTGAATTCATCCAGTCCTGGGCTTTTCTTTGTTGGGAGGGCCTTTATTACTTTTTCAATTTCTGTCTCATATGGGTCTGTTTAGTCTTTGTATGTCTTCCTGGTTCAATTCAGGTACGTTGCATGTGTTCAGGAATCCAGCCATTTCTGATAGATTTCCCTGTTTGCTGGCATACAAGTCTTTGTAGTAATTTCTGTTGATTATTTTATGTCTGTGCTGTTTGTAATTATTTTTTCCTTTTTCATCTCTGATTACATTGATTTCGGTCTTTTCTCTCTTTTTTTTAGTTAGTTGGGCCAATGGGGTGTCAATCTTGGTTATTTTTTCAAAAAACCAGCTCCTCGTTTGGCTTATTTTATTTAATGTTTTTTTGGATTCAATCCTGTTGATTTCTTCTCTGATTTTAATTATTTCTCTTCTCCTACTAGATTTGGGTCTCGTTTGCTGCAGATTTTCTATATCCTTGAGATGAATTGAAAGCTCATCTATTTGGTGCCTTTCCAATTTCTTGATGTAGACACCTATTGATATAAACTTCCCTCTTAACACTGCTTTTGCTGTATCCCATAAGTTTTGGTTTGTTGTGCTGTTATCCTCATTTACTTACAGAAAATTTTTGATTTCTCTTTTAATTTCTTCTATGACCCATTGTTCCTTCAGGAGCATGTTGTTCAATCTCCATGTGTTTGCATATGTTCTAGGGATTCCTGAGTTGCTAATTTCCAACTTCATTCCTTTATGGTCTGAGAAGCTGCATGGTATGATTCTAATTCTTTTGAATTTGCTGAGACTTGCTTTATGGCCTAGTATGTGGTCAATCCTAGAGAAGGTTCCATGTGCTGCTGAGAAGAATGTAAATACTTTAGTGTTAGATGAACGGTTTTGTATATATCTGTTAGATGCATTTGGGCTATAGTGTCATTTAAATCTACTGTCTCCTTGTTGATCTTCTGTCCTGTTGATCTGTCTATTTCTGAGAGTGGAGTATTGAAGTCCCCCAGTACTATTGTATTGGAATCTAAGTCTACGCTTAAGTCACTTATATCTTTTAAACAACCCAGTTCCCTGTAATTAGGTGCATATATATTTATAATAGTAATATCTTCCTGTTGAATTGATCCCTTAATCATTATATAGTGCCCCTCTTTGTCTCTTTTAACAATTTTTGTATTAAAGTTTATGTTGTCTGATATTAAGATGGCTACGCCCGCTCTATTTTCATTTCTGTTGGCATGGTATATCTTTTTCCAGCCTTTCATTTTCAGTCTGTATGTATCTTTGTTGAAAAGATGTGTTTCTTGAAAGCAGCAAATAGATGGGTTTTGTTCCTAAACCTGATAAGCAAATCTATGTCTTTTAACTGGAGAGTTGAGGCCAGTAACCTTCAATGTGACTATTGATAAGTAGTAACTTTGCCCTGCCATTTGCCAAAAAAATATTTTCTAATATATATTTTGAACTACCTGTGATCTTTTTCTGTGAGGTTTCCTTCCTTTACATTCTTTCATATCATGACCGTGTTTCTGTGCTTTGTGTGTAACACATCTTTAAGCATCTTTTGCAGGGCTGCACGAGTTACGACAAATTCTTTCAATTTCTGTTTGCTGTGAAAGGTATTTATTTCACCTTCATTCACAAATGAGAGCTTTGCAGGATATAATATTCTGGGCTGGCAGTTTTTCTCTCTTAGTACCTGGGCTATCTCTCACCATTCCCTCCTAGACTGCAGCATTTCTGATGAGAAATCAGCTGTGAGTCTAATTGGAGATACTCTGAGAGTAATCTGACGTTTCTCTCTTGCAAATTTTAGGATCTTTTCTTTATGTGTCACTGTGGTGAGTTTAATTACAACGTGTCGTGGTGAGGATCTCTTTTGGTCGTGTTTATTAGGCGTTCTATGAGCTTCCTGTACTAGGATGTCTCTGTCCTTCTCCAACCTGGGAAATTTTCTGCTAGTATCTCACTAAAAAGGCCTTATAATCCTTTCTCCCTCTACATGCCTTCAGGAACTCCTAGAACCCGAATGTTGGGTTTTTTAATAGTATCCTGAAGATTCCCGACAATATGTTTTAGATTTCTAATTTCCTCTTCTTTGGTCTGACTGTATCCTTTCCTGTTCTCTGTCTTCTAATCGGATATTCTCTCTTCTGGTTCACCCATTCTGTTTGTAAGGCTCTCTAATGTGTTTGTCATTTAATCTATTGAATTCTTCATTTCATTATGATTTCTCATCACTATCACAGTTTCCTGTTCTAATAGTTGTTTCATTTCATTTTGAGTCCTCCTTAATATTTCATTTTCACGAGAGAGATTTTCTATCTTGTCCATTAAGGATTTCTGTAGTTCAAGAATTTGTTTTTGAGAACTTCTTAATGTTCTTATCAATTTTTTGAGATCTGCTTCTTGCATTTCTTCTATTTCATCATCTTCATAATCTTGAATTTGGATGTCTTTTTCATTTGGGTCCATGACAGTGTCTTCCTCGTTCTTGTTACCTCGGTTTCTGTGTTTGTTTGACATTGTTTAGATATTCTTTGGTTTCTTCGCTGTGGTGCTTTTTCTTGTTATACTATGACTCTAGATTAAGTGGACTGTCTGTTTTTGATGGATCCTTAGAGGCTGTGATGTGCGTGGCCAGAGAGCTCTGTTTGGTTCTTCAGGGTTAAGTGTGTGCCAAAGGTGACTCACCCAGATTGTTCTCTTGCTCACTTGCTCTCTCTCTATTTTTCTTCTGACTCAGTTGGGAAGTAATTCCACACAGCTGAGTGGAATTGAGGGTAGTTGATGTATGAAATCTGGCCCCTGTGTGTATTCATCTGCTCTACCCCTGGGACCACACAAAGAGTTTATGCAGCCCACAGTGTGGTCTCTAATTTCTCTGCACTCTCTCACCGGGTTGCCAAGGATACCGAGTTTGTGTACTCGGTGAGTTCTCTCTGCCCCCCTCAGATTTTCACAGTCTCAGTTTGTTAGTTCCACACTTTCACTAGGTCCTAACCTCCTGTTATTTCTCCCCTCCAGAGTCAGATTTTTCTGCTTGGCTAATGGTGTGCGCCACTTTACTTACGTAAAACGGCGCCTGCTCTTTGTCTTGCTCGTCTTTGTAAGTTGAGTGGAGAGAGAGGCTAGTGTCCATGCTGGTTCCCCTTATTTATTCGTTTTTTTCTCTCCTCCAGTCAGCCTGGTGAACTTTCCCCAGTGGGGCTTCAGGCCTCGTTCCCTCTAGGCTCTTTCTGCCTTGCCCTGCCAATGTCTCGGGTTACCGAGGTTTTTGTCTCACCTCCACTTCCAGCGCTGGTGCGCAGACTCTGTGGCTGGGCTTCCACGCAGTGGGTGACCTTGCTCTCCCCATAGGTGCTCCATGTCACATCCACCAAATCTGGAAGAGTTTCCTCTGCAATTTTTTCCTGAGCCTTTTCCTGAGGCTACAGTAACTCCACTTTTATTAAACTATCTTTTCTCAGACTATCGGTGTGCACCTTCACTATTCCACCATCTTGGCTCCTCCTCTGAGAGGAGTTCACATCAATTTTTTCTTTAATTGTCTGATATAATTCTTCAGTGAAGCTATCAGATCCTGTGCTTTTCGTTGTTTTGTGGGCCTTTATTACTGATTCAATCGCCATCTTGTTTATTGTTTAGGTTTTCTGTGTTTTCATGACTCAGTTTTGGTGGATTCCATGTTTCTAGGAACCTATCCATTTCTTTTAAATTTTCCGATTTGTTTTTATATAGCTTGTTGTCATGATTTTTGATGATTCTCCCCCCCTCCGTGGTATCTGTTGTTACATTTTTTACCTCTGGTTCTATTGATTCGATTTTCTCCCTCTTTTTTTGGTTAGAAGGGCCCATGATGTTTGCATTTTGTTTATATTTTTGAAAAACAACTCTTCATTTCACTGATCTTTTGCATTTTTTGTTGTTATTGCAATTTTGTGTATTTCTTCTCTAATTTTGACTATTTCTTTCCTCTTACTAATTTGGGGATTGGTTTGTTGTTACTTTGTTGGGTCCTTGAGATGAATTGATAGATCATTTACTTGGTTCCTTTCCAATGTCTTAATGTGGCATAAATTGCTATAAACTCTCAACTTGACACTTTTTGCTGTATCCCATAAGTTTTGATATGTTATACTGTTGTCTTCATTTATTTCCAGAATTTTTTTATTTCTCTTCTGCTTCCTTCTGTGATCCACTGTGCATTCAGGAGCATGATCTTCAGTCTCCGGAGCCTGTGAAATGTTGAAAGGCTGAGGGAATCTCACAGTCCTACGTGGGTGCCCAGTCCATTGTCATCTTCTACCCAATCAGAGTTAAAGTCATTGGGGAATTCAGATTTTTCTCTCTGCTAAGAATCTCTATATCACACACATACACAAGTACCACCAATTGCATACCCCCTTGATTCACAATGTTGCTTTCCCCCACTGGTTGCCAGGTGCATAAACCAGATTTGCTCCACCACTACCACTGAAAACCCCATGTCAGTTGCTGAACACATGCACAGGAGCTTCACAGTTGTTTTTTTTTTTCATGTTCAGAATGGCACCCACGCACTCTCAGTCACTTGCTGGGTGTTGTATGTGTGTGGAGGGGGGTTCAGAGAAAAAAACATGCCACTTTTCTTCACTGGGTCAGTGGGTACCGTATCCCCCTCAGGGCTCCAGACCAAACTCACTCTAAGCTCTCCCTCTAACAAGCATGGGCTGCTACAGTGTGATCTCATTTCACTCTCCAAAGCTAACCCTTTCTCCAGCTCTCAGCTCCTGGGGTCATGTGTTTTCCCAGCTCATGATGCACATCTGCAATTTCCACACCAATCCATGGCATTCCTCTTCCTTCCTTAGAGTTTGCACTGCAGTTTTCTCTCTTCCCAGAGGATGTACTTCTTCCACTTGTTTTTTACTATTTACTCCTTGCCTAGAGCACTATGCCCCTTCCTGTTCTGCCATCTTGGAAACTGGATTAGCCATTCTTTAAAGGCAAAGATTGTGAATATCAGCTTAGTGGTAACCAGAAGGCATCCTTTAGGTCTAGGACTCTGTAACATAACTTGTCGCCATATATCTGCATTAGTATAGTGTAGGTCTCTCTTCTTATTTTCCCTGGCTTCTTGCCAGGAGGGGTCTGTCTGTAGCCCTGAGCCTCCAGGGCATGTGGCCCTTAGACCACCTGCCCTAGGCTTCCTGACCTAGATGCTCTTCCACATGGCTGGTTCCTGGTGCTCATTATGGAACCCAGATTTACCCCTCTCTCTTAGATAAAGTTCTGTCTCCTATGCATCTCTCACACGAAATAAAAGCTTAGAATGTATCATGTTGCCTCGTTTACTTATGTCGGCACTTGGAATTCTTCTCTAAATATTAGACAAGAACCCTCTTGGGCTTATTAATATTAATAAGCATATGTTGATATATGGCACCCCAAATTTTGATAACATATGTGGCACCCAAGATGGCACTTCTGAGGAATTTAAGGGGCCACATTTTGTACATATTTTAGGGAGTCATTTCCGATATCATATGGCAACCACGAAGGGGCATTTAACATGTGGAATTTTTAAGAAGTGATATTTAACATGTGGAATTTTTAAGAATTTTTAAGACTAGGCAGCATGGTAGGAGCAGATTTCCTGTGGCTTCTGACCCTATCTCTCTGCCTACACCCTCTCTCCTCCTTCTGGGTTGGTGCTTTCCCTGCGCACGCAGCCGTGGGAATGCAGGGCTCCAAAGCACCTGCCCTGGTGGGGATGCGCACACGGACTTCTCAGGGGAATGGCGTATCTTTTTTCTTCGGCCCTGGTGCTGGCTGCAAGGCAGGGATAGGATGGCCAGACTTGCAGTACGAAGTGGCCCAAGATCTGGGCACCAAAGGCACCCTAGATCTATCGTCCCAGTTTCGGTTCCACTGGAGGGTGACCCACACGGAGGGTGACCTCCCCCCATGGCTCGAGCTAGCCCCCCACCCCTGCTGGAGTTTAAAGGCGGCAGCCATAACACACTCAAAGCAAGCTGAGATGGGTGTAGGGAGAGGAGCTGAGTGTGGTAGTCAACCACGTGGCATGAGGCAAAAGCCACCCTGCCCTGGGGAAGAAGAGCAGCTCGCTCACGCAAAAGACAAGTGAGTTTTTTTGTCTTTCTTTCTCTTTTGTTTTGCTGGTAGTTTTCAAAAAAGGAAGGCATGGGTTGGTTTTCTTTCATGGTTTCTGGCTTCAAAAACTTTGGTTTCATTGCTAGTGCAATGTAATAAGAGATAAAACAGATTTACACGGAGGACAAACTCCTAAGGATTTTACGTGTTTTTCTAAGGTTACGTTTTTAACTATTACCAGCAGCTAAAATTCAGAAAAATTTCTCTTTGTCCCTGGGCCTAATTGTACTGCTAATTTTGAGTTGGAGAACTGGTCTGGTTGCTCAGAAGGGTGTTAGTGTCAGGGAGGAGGAGCTTTCAACTACATCTGCTCCTTTGGAGACTCCCGGAAAGATCTACACTTAATAATTGGGAGACCCTTCGACTTGATGGGATTAAGTAATTATAACTAATACAATGGATCCATGTAAAGTACTTAAAAATAATTAAGTTCATGAAGAGCTGTGTCTGTTTCTCAGGTCTTACAGAGAGAATGTAAATCTATATATCTTTGCATGTATTCCTACAGACTTACTTCTAAGTGTACAGTTTAAAACTTGCTATGGGATCGCAAATCCTTTTGGGTTAGATGGTAATGGTAACATATTAAGTTTTAAAGTGATCCTAAAGGTTGGATTAAGTGCTAAAGTAATCATGTCAATAGGATTAAGCGTTTACTACTAATAATAGAGTTAAAGAGGAGTAAATGCTCCAACATGGGAAGGAGTCTGTACAGCAGTCTCATAGAGTTGCAATCCCTTTTAGTAGCACTCAGTGACCTCAAAACCAGCCCTAAAGGGATTCTGGTCTGGCTAGAAAGCCCACAAGATCATTTCAGGCATGGAAAGCCAGGACACTCATGGAAAATTGTCTCTACATGGAGAACTTCCTGGGATGAGACACCAGTGGAAAAGAGTGGCCATCAAAGAAGGCTGTACTTTTCTCTGGAGGGAGAGAGTACTTCCACTTTGCTTATGGCCTTATCTGAATACTGATGGAGTTTGTGAAACTCACAAGGCTTCCATGGCCTAGGAATCTCATGTCAAGAACCTTGGGTGATCACGGATGTCACACATAAGAGTGTTAATTGCTAAATTAAAAACAAGAGTCACTGTACTAACTTCCCATGTAGGACCTCTGTTCTCAAAGGGCTACAGTATTAACTTTAATGGCAAAACTTAATGCCATCTCACTAGTCCCAGTGATCAATTTCTGTTCACAATTGATCATAATGATAGGACTAAGAACCAATGGGATCACATAAACAAAAATAGTGTTTGCAAATACTAGCTGATAGAATAAAAAAGGGAGAGAATGATCCAACATGGGAAGTGAGATACACAGCAGACCCATAGAATGGCAGTTGTCCTAAACAGCACTCTGGCCTCAGAATCAGCCCTTAAGGCATTCTGATCTGGCTGAAAAGCCCATGAGAGTATTTCAGGCATGGAAAGCCAAGACACTCTGGGAAAAAAAAAAAAAAAACCTAAATGAAAGATCTCCGCGAGTGAGATCCCAGTGGAAAGAATGGGTCATCAAAGAAGGAGGTACCTTTCTCTGAAGGGAGGAGAGAACTTCCACTTTGACCATGGCCTTGTCTAAATATGATCAGAGTCAGTGAACTCAAAAGGCTTCCATAGCCTTGGCAGCTCATGACAAGAGCCTAGGGTGATTACTGAGGCCATAAACAAGAGTGTCCATTTGTTAAGTCAACAACAGGAGTCACTGTGCACTTACTCCTCTTGTAGGATCTTTGTCTTTAGTGTGCTGTACATTGAGATTTAATGCTATAACTAGTACTCAAACAGTATTTTTCACTTTATGTTTCTGTGTGGGAGCAAACTGTTGAAATCTTTACTTAATGTATGCTAAACTGATCTTCTGTATATAAAGAGAATCGAAAATGAATCTTCATGTGAATGGAAGGGGAGAGGGAGTGGGAAAGGGGAGGGTTGCGGGTGGGAGGGGCGTTATCGGGGGGAAGCCATTGTAATCCATAAGCTGTACTTTGGAAATTTATATTCATTAAATAAAAGTTTAAAAGCAAAAAAAAAAAAACTTAATCCCAAAGATTTACTTTATTCTATTGTGCATTATTATGCATCATAAGTTCTAGTTATTTCTAAGTGTCAAACTCCATTGCCTGTATTCCTAGGTATTTCTTTAAAGTTTATTAAGTGCCTCAAATGTAAAATCTTGGATACATGTCTCTGAAATTCCTATCTCATATGTTTTAACATAGGGCCAGATTTTAAAGGCAGCCAAGGATATTTCTGAGAATGGCAAAATTCTGTGGACTTTGGATTCCAAGATTTTGCATATAGCTTTAAAGAACCCCTGATGAAGACTCTGTGTGTTTTTTCCTTGTTCCTTGCATTCATTTTTATTCTGACCTGAAAAAACAAGTTTTGACATAGTATCCTTTATGATATACCAAAATAGCAACAGTTTGGAGGTTTATGCTTAGAAATCTACAGGCAATATGCCCCAAGATGAT